CGCTTCCGATGGAGGGCGTTTCCGAGTATCTGCGTCTCACTTCCCCGCTAAATGCCGCGGTCCGTCGCGCGGACGACCGGAAACGCGGAAAATTCAAGGGGAAAACGCGGGAAAGCCCGCACTGGAACACCCCTAAACAACGCGGCGAGAACAACGGGTCGCTTCGCGACCCGAATCTCGCGGCTGCGCCGCTCGCCGAGGGAGCCTTCGTTATGGGAACGCGGCTCTTTTTCGGGGGCGGGCGTGCGAGCGAGAGTGCCCCCCACGTTTTAATATATATGATAAAGCTCAATTTCCTGGTTCTACCTATGATGCCCATATTTGGCGAACTTCACGTGTGTCCTAAGTGATGGAAGGCATATATAGACCCGATTCTGGAAATGTTTTTTTTCTTAGGGGACTCGGGTACAATAATATTTAATTATACTAATAACACTTGCCCCTAGTTCAAATTTTTAAATGCTTGCCTAAATTTTATGTAAAGAGCTTTAAATACAAAGAATAAGATAAAAAGTTAATAGAAAAATAAATAAAATACTGTTTTAGGTTATCAAACACGCCCTTGGCTACTAACACCAATAAGGAATCCAGAAACCAGGGGTGAAGAAAGATTCAACCAAAACTTTTGTAGCATATGGTCAAATATTGAATGGTGTAATGGTGTTTTAAAGAATAGATTTCGATGTCTTTTAAAGCATCGAACGTTACATATGTCACCTACAAAAGCTGTTAAAATGCTTGTTCTGTATTACACAATATGTGCATAACAAACAATATTCCATTGCCTGGAGATAATTAAGTCCTTGCTGATATAGATTATGGAATATATGCTGTAGATAATGTTAATGAAGTAGTAAGAGGAGTTAATATCGATTTAGAAGCAGCAAGACAATTGCAACAAAATATAATAAATAACCATTTTTTACAACCACAATAACTCCAGTAAATTTGTTTACTTTTACTTTTTTAAAATAAGGAAATAATTTTGTTTATAGGCTTCCATGGCTGTCGTTAATGGTTGAGTGATTTCCGGGCTGGTTGCCACGTCGTCGATTTACAACTCGACGTTTCGAGAGACATATCAATCTCTTCTTCAGAAGTTATTCAGAAAAAAAATACTTTTTTTAAACCGATGACGTGGCAACCAGCCCAGAAATCACTCAACCAAGTAAATAAATATTTTTTTCAATGCGACAATTTTAAATATTTACAAGAGAATTTGTAACATTATAATTTCATTTGTTATTTGTCGAACTATAATCTAATACAATCATAAAATAGCATTATAAATATTTAAACAATAAATAAAAAAAACATAATAGGTATTTTATTAACAAAACTAATCACAAACTTAATTATAATCTTTGGAAACACTCATAAATCACATTATTTAATTAAGAAACTTAATATCACGAGTACAGATACTTTGAACACAAAAAAAACTAGATTGCATCAGTCACTTTTTGTTGCGCTTGCTCTGATTTTTATTTAGGCATATTACGCAATTAACACTTATTTTTGTCATCATAATGGTAGAATGTAACAGAATTTGTATTATCTTTATGATCTACCATTTGGTTGAGGCTATCACCGATCGATTCTAGAATCATTAACTTTTTTTTCCAGTAGGTTTCTCTTTTTTTTGAATCACAAAGTAAAATTTCAATTTTTTTCTCTCTATAGATTTTGTGTGATTCTAAATTCTCTTTATTTATTTTTAGGAGCATATCATTGTTCTTCATTGATTCTGTTAGCCTTGCAGTTTTAGTGAATCGTTTTCGCTTAAAGCCTGGGGTAGATAAAAATGTTGATGAATTCTGGTTCTCAACTTGTATTTCTGCAGTGGATGGCTGTTGAGAAGTACCTGGAATACTACAATATACGTGGTCCTGATCCATTAAATTATCAAACTTATCAGAATTCTGGACCGTTTCTTCAGTTTCGGTCATTACAGTCCGCTTAAAAAAAAAGTTACATTCTAGATCAGCAAAAGTTAATTTTTGTTTTAATTACAAAATAACTACTATTACAATGTTTAAAGGTTACTTCAATAATTATATGAATTGGCAGTAAAAATGATTATTTCATAATTCAGTTAATCATTTGTATTAAGTGACAATATGAATCATACCTACATGAGAAGTATCAGTATAAATAAGTGCTTGTATAGAAAGTACAAAATTCTGCAGATACTTACTCCATCAAAAACCACAGATTCATCTAAGGGCTCAATGACATCAAATTGCACCTCTGACACCGTAACATTATCATTGCCTGTAATGGATGTGGGATTTATTATTGACAAAATTTTTTCATCGATGTTACTTTTTGTTTTAGAGGGTGGTGATGAAGGTGGTCCTCCTCCAGTACCTTGCATGTATTTTCGTTTTTGAGACTCTTTTTCTTTGGTATTTTTCTTAAGATCTACCCAGCTCTAGAAATAAAACTCAACTATAGTATATGGCTTTTGTCTACTCTTAATGTATATAAACACTTACTTTTCTCCATTGTTTCCAGTCTTTTGCTGGTCCACCCGGAACACTATTTAATATATTAGTCACCTCGGACCAAAGTGCATGCATTTTATCTTTTGTATATATTGG